AAACCAAGATTGTTGTGGGGTTGAAAAGATATCAAAACACAATAGCACTCAATGTCTCTCAATAGTAAGGATGGTTTAGATCATGTGGCTCCTTCCCCGAAGTCAAGTGATTTACACGGAAAGAACATCATAGCGCTTTAGCAAAAAATTTTCAGAAGAGTTTCTTGAGCTTTTGGATAAAATTCTGGGGTGTGCTACAGTGACAAGACGCCTTTATGTAGCACTTTGGAAGAATTAAAGAGGATGATTCTACTTTTTACAAATTTTCGAGGGAAACTAAGGCTAAACAGCTCTTACTGGAATGAACAATGTCAAGTTTCAGATCGTACCAACGGAGAAAACGTTAGAGGTGGTTCCTGAAGATCAGCAGGACACAGAAGGGAGGAAGATTGAAGGTAAAGGAGTGCGCTTCAGTGACGACAATTCCACACAAGAGGTAAGTTCTAATGAAACTCTATCGATTATGCTACCTGTAAGCAAGCATTCGTATTGACCACACTCCATATCGTCAATAGGAGTGCGGCTGTGGAAACCTATGAGCCTTAAAAACTCAATTAAGAGAGCTATTCTCCCACGATTGTGCCAATTCCTTCACAATTTCATGTTAGTGAGCAATGCGATCCTAACTTTCAAAGCGGAAGTGCTGAAAACATCATTGAAAGCCCTTGTGAGAAAATACAACATTTAATAGCTTTCTAATCTTCTGAAAGTGCCTTTCAATTGAAGTAACACCAGAGTGGACCACCTGACAAGATTTCAGCCAATACGACCCTTTTCCTCCATCAGTAGAATTCCCCTGCCCCACCTGTAATGGTCGACGGTATCAGTAGGGTCGCTGGAACAGGCACAACATGCCACCCAACCTCCAACTAGTATCTCGAAGGAAGTACATTTGAATGCTAAACCACAAACTACCCCCTATTCTTACTCATTTCGCTCACGCAGCTTTCCCTTTATGACCGTAAACAAACAGCCTGGTGCTCTCCCCTCTCACCAGGGCGTTCTCCTGTCGAGGAGTTTTTGGCCATGCTCACCATCATGAACACTGATTAACTTTGGAGAACTAAATCGAAGATCGGAAAATTTCCGGGTTGCAGGGCCCGTAGGTGCTAAATGCATGGCGCATCCCTAAAATTCAGCTCAGAGGGCATTACCGTGCAGTCTTGCAGTTCAAAAACGTTTTCGTCCTTCTAAAATCACAGACAAAAATGTTTTCTTCCTTCTAGAATCACAGACCTGGTAACGGTACGTTGGAGCGCGATAACGAGGAACGGACGACGAAGGAGGCGCTACAACGTGCACAAGATGCACACTGCGGTGAAGTTGAACGAGCTGATGCGGGAGAAGTCAGCCGATTGCCAACTGCTCATCGTCAATCTGCCTGGACCACCCGACCAGGATTCGGACATATACTGTGAGTCCTACCAAGTCGGATTGACCTGTCATTTACAGTTTCTTTTTGCAGATATGGAATTCATCGAAGCGTTGACAGAAGGCTTGAATCGGGTATTGCTTGTGCGTGGCACAGGAGCCGAAGTAGTCACCATCTACTCCTAGTCTATCATAGGTGGCCATATTCTCTACTCTCTCGATCATCTCCGTTGTCCTTTTCTTTTCTTCGTCTTTTTCCCATCTCTTCATCTTTCTTGTCGCCCATATGCACTGCGGGTACTTACGTCGTCTAAGCGTAACACTTTCATGCGAGCATCCATTCTCAGATGACGTTCCCACGCCTACGCGCGTGAACTTCGTCCGGATCGCCCATTCCTCGTTGGCTCATCGAATTGCCATGGAATTTCCCGTAGTTGTAGAATCGCAGCTATCGTGTCACACATAAATGCCAAAGCCCCATTTTCTGATTTTTCTACCGGTATCCGCATATCTAG